CCCGTTCCTTTTGTCTGTGTGCGTCTTTCCCTCTGTCTCCCAAAAATGATCTTTAATCCCTGCCAAAAACCTGTGCTTTTTTTTTTTTGCTGCTTCTTTGAATGGCTTCCCTCACACACTAAAGCAAATACCCTGTCCCGTCACCAAACATTTAAAATCCATACGTGTTTTCAAAAGGCAGTCGGAGCCATTTATGTAGGTTCGGGATTTTAAAAGTAAACACAAGGTTTCATCACTCGAGACAAGCGAATAAACTGGAAGGCTGTACGGTGCTGAATTTTATGTAAAGATTACATTGCCCTTTTTTTTTTTTTACTTTTGATAGTATACAAGCTTGACTTTAATCTTATTTGTTCATTTTTTGAAAGTATTACATAAACTTTTTGGTCCTATGTCAGGCAAATATCCACACAGACCCACACTGATCCCAAATGACTCATCATAGCGTGGCTTACCAGCAGTCCTCCACAGCCAGCCATCAGCCTTATCAACAGACAGGGTCTTAGGGGGGATTTGAAAACAGGAAGAACCCCCTGCACAGGGAACACATACTGCTGTACTGTTTGTGTGCGTGTGTGTGGGTGCACTTGTGCGTGAATATCCATCCTTGCATCGAGTGTGAATCGGTTCAGCCAGAATGGCACTCAAACTGAGATACATATATCTCTTGCAAGTGCAGGTGCAATGTTCCCATGAGCGTTTGGACTGCTTTTCATTGCTGGGCTCCTATTTTAACAGCCTGTAAACCAGGTATATACTCTGCAAGGAGACGGAGTTTGTCTTGCTGGGTTACAGTGTCTGAGAATGTTCACTGTAAATGGCACCCTTTGAGTGTCTGAATGGGCTTTTGTGCACCTCTTAAATAATCTGACCCACCAAAGGTAACCACCAATGAAACGAGCCCCTACCCTCTCTCCTGATTAACAGGTTTTCGTTTGACCCACCAGTCATGTTGCATGAATACAGACTTGTTTGGCTGTTGGCCAGTGGTAGTTTGTCTGCAAATGGACTAAGTCCTATGTGTAAGCGAGCAATGTTAAGGAATTTGCACTTGTGTGGATTATTTATAGCCACCCTGACATTTACGCTGCTCTGCTAGAGTAAAAAAAACTCAAGGATACGCTGCCCTTTGATTATGGTATCGCCAGTCTTTTTAAAGATGGGAATAAGGTTGCCTTTTTAATTCGTAATGTCCGAAGGTGGTTATTTTCTGTAATGTTGGTCAGCAAGTTATTACTCTAATTTTTTTTTTCTAGGTGTAAACACTCTTTAAGGGGGGTGACTCATTTTCCAAATGTGGGCACCTCCTCTTTAGGGAGTATTTTGAAATTAAGGGGTGCTTTCAAGCTCTAGCAAGTCTACTCTATTCCAGCATTACTGTTTTTCTTGCCATATGCATCCCAGGCAATTATTGTGTCTACTTTTTGGCAGTGTGGTGTATTTTATCAGGAACTGACGAAATCTTTCTCTATAATCCATCACACGAATGAAGCACGTTTTGTTACAACAGGAAGGGATTACCCCATACTGTGACCACAGAAGCGCCTTTCCTCCCCGTCTCATATTTGTTTGATCTTCTGTCAGTCCTCTGTTTGCATAATTCGGCGACTTTAAAAACACCTTCCCGCTTGGGAGATTGTAAAAAGAGATAGCTGTTGTTTGATCAGTAAGACGAGTGCGCACTCTCTCCTAGTGATATTGCCTGTCATCATAACAACAGGTGTAAACCTTACTTTAATCACTTCATGTTTCACTCCTTTATTGTGTTTTCTTTATCACGCTTTGGAGTGCATCTGCACACATCCCAAACGGTGGTGGTTTTTTCTGGCGGGCAGCAAAGATGATATAACAATTTTACTCTGTTTGCTGTCAGAATGTCAGTGAAATTTTACTCGAGCGTGACCTGAGCTGACATGTCCTCAGCACTGGTTTGGTGTTGTCATTCAAAGGTCGTAATTAAATTTTAACTACTCTCACTACATGACTGCGCACAAAATATACCAATGCTGCCAGCTGAATATGAAGACTACAAAACATCTTGGCCTGTCAGAAGATAAAGATAAAAGAAATATCACCATCCAGAAACTGTAAAAGTTCAATTCAGTGCAGTTCAGTTTTTCATATAGCAGCAAATCACAACAACAGTCACCTCGAGGCGCTTTAAATTGTAAGGTAAAGTTGCTACAAATATGTAGAATAAAGCAGAAAACCCCAACAATCAGATGGCTCCCAATTAGCAAGCACTTTGGTGACAGTGGGGAGGAAAAACTCTTCTAACAGGAAGAAACCTCCAGTAGAACTAGGTTGAGGGAGGGCCAGCCGTTATACACTTATGGACAAGTTATATCCTCTAAACACTAAAATGCTAAGACAAATATATATTTATGAGGGGCAATGGTTAGCATCGTCCAGGTCATAGCAAGAAAGTGTCCGGTTTGAATCCACAGACCAGCTGGAGCGGTTCTTTGTGCAATGAAAAAGTTCTAAAGCAGGTATGCAGGTGAAAGTATCTCTTTGGTTAATATTTGCAGGTATGGTTTTATATTCAACTTCTGATCTTCAGGGTTTTAATTTCTATATTTTAACTCAAATTGTGTAACACGGATAAATGGAAATCTATAGACTACTGTAAACTCTTAAGTACCACCAGCCAGGTAGTCTACTGGCAAAATGCCAGAACTAGAGTAATTTTCTGTAGTTTGAATGGTGGGTGTGGTGCACACAAACTCTGCTCTCACATCTGGTGCAGCCATTTTTTTTGGAGTTTACCTGAAGCATAATGCTGCCACATCCTAGAATAGTCTGCGCTACCCCAGTAATACATCATGAGCGTGCTTTATGTTTGTTGTGCAGCTTTGCTCTGTCCTTGGCATGGCTTCAAATCATTTCAGGAGCTCTTCAGAAGTGAAGCATTTAATCTCCAGGAGGAGGGTTGTTTTTTGGGGGGGGTTTGTATGTTTTGTTTTTTTTGTTTTTTTTCTATAATTAAGGGGATTTTCCTGCCATCCTGACCTTCTCATTTGCTCTGCACAGCTTGACATGTCTTAGGTCAAAACTGATCCGATGCTAATTCTAGCTACGTGTAGCCAGAAGCTGCTTCTGGGGAAATTGTTTTCTGGAACCTGATCGCTGCCTGTTTGCTTCCTAATTAGGTAATGTAAGTCCAAAAACTTAGCCAAAACAATAAAACTAGGCAGTAAAACACATACCTTTTGGTATTTCATCATTATTGTTTGTTTACTTTGCCATAATGAGACATAACAATGGGAATGGATGTTACCCTTAGTACCCCCTGTAATATTTCACCCTGTCGACTTGCCACAGCTCCCAATCTGTGCTCCCAATTTTTCAACACCATGACTGTCAAACTGTGCCCGTAAGACTTTCCATGGTGTGCAGATGATGTCATTTTGATACAAAATTGCATCAATAAAAATCGTTGCCACAGTAAGCACTGTTAAACTACCTTTGCCCTTTTGGCCTAGACGCAGAGTAGAAATTAGACAATCATTAATCACGAGACATAATGACACAACAGGAGGGGATCAGTGTCTTCGCTTTGCTGTTGAGTCGCTTCCAGAGAAGCAGAGCTAGTGGAACTGCCATGCTGCTCTGTAATTACCCAGAGAGCCCTGGGGCAAATCCATGTGGCTGACACGAATACCTTCCTCTTCTTTCTGTCCCTCCCTCCCTCTCTTCTCCCCACCCGGTGTCCCAGCGTAGCACTATGTGTCTGCAGCATGGGAGGTCTTGAAGTCATGGCCTCTGCTTACTCCTGCACTCTGGGGCAAATGGCCCTCTTGTCCTTCTCGCTGTAGGCATTGTACTCACTCTTTTCGCTGTGATATCTCTTCCTCCGCTCTTTGACATTATCTTATTGTTTTGTGTCTGCAGGAAAAAGCTGAGGCATATAATATCCACTGGCTCATTTCTGTGTTCCTCTGAGTACCATGTGAACAGCTCATAAAGCTATATAATCAATATTTGCTTAGTAATTTTCTTTCCAGGGGTCAAACAGGATTGCCTTGTGTAATACCCGTGCTGCTATTGTACCCTTGCCAGTGTCTCTTTTCACAGACAAAAGTGGCTGTTGGAGTGAAGATCCAAGCAGTCTGTAAAGGACTGCAGAGCGTAAACACTTGTGAGGCAGAATGCATTGCCTTCTTGCCAGGGTGTACTCTTCTCCATACAGGAAGTGGAAGAACTCAGTGGGGTTATCTCGGAGCTGTTTATCTATTCCAGAGTTCCTCCTGCTCAGGGAGTGAAAGCCTTCAAACTGTTACTCCTCAGCTGCCTGTTTGCTTCAGACGGGTGTGTGAAAAGCGGAGGAGGGGTATTTAGGACTGTGTGTCTGTGTTGGAGCTGAAGCCAAGGAGGAGGGGGTTTGGAGTGGGGTTCTAATGAATAGGAGGACAGGTCTACTGCTCTGCTCTCCAAACTCTCGAAGCTTCCCATCATGCTTTGCCTTGCCCCTCACCAAACTCTTTATGGCCTTTTGGTTTGGTGCCAGATCGCTCGCACATTTGCCAACGTGTGTGTGAGTGTGTGTGTGAGTGAAAATTCTCACTATTGACATTTTGCTAGTAGTACAGTTCTACTTTAAACAGCATGCTAAATTGAGTCTGACATTTCTGGCATGTGAGAAATTCTAGTAGGTCTGACAAGAAACAGGCTGGAAAGGTTTAATTTGACACAGCAGAATACTACAGTATTATAGGAGCCTCATTGCACAGGTCTGCAGACAAAAAGTATCAACAAGCTGTCATGTGAGCCTTTATGGGTGAGGTGAATATAAACCCTTTGTTTCTTTGAGTAGACAGCTGTTTGGACATCATTGAACTGCTTTAAGTACCGTAATGGAAACAGTATGTGTTCTAATTTGGATGATTCTCCTCATATAAACAACAACTTATCATAACCTTGCCTCGACTACTATTCCCGATACTTTCCGGGAGTCATCTGTTCAGCTTTTTCATTTCTCATCCCTTTGGCTTTTTCAGGATGTGAAAATATTCCGAGCGCTGATCCTGGGCGAGCTGGAACGAGGGCAGAACCAGTACCAAGCCCTGTGCTTCGTGTCCCGCCTCAACCGCAATGAGATCATCCCCAGCGAGTCCATGGCCCGTCTCAGGCAGGTATGACACGGTGGAGATTGTGCTATGGAGATTTTTCAGCTGATTATATACTGTGGAGAATCTGAGGATATTACGTCTTTCCCAGAAAAATCCCCAGGCCATTCGTTTGGCAGAGGAGCGGAGAGGCCTGGAGCAGCTGACTATGAGCGCAGCGGTCAATCTAAGTCGGGCCTGGCACCTCAGCGCCCACATCCACAACATGTGTAGCGAGGCTCGCGAGGCCATCTACACCAGTGAGGCAGATGTGAAATACTGGCTGGAAAAAGGTCAGCGGCCATCTGATTTTTGTTTATTATTGAACCTCACATAAACTCTGCTGGTGTTTTTGTACCCCCCCCCCCCCCGCCACCCCCTTTTCTTTCTCCTCTCCTGATTGTCTCTCTAATTCTGCATACGTCTCTGAACTGATTCTCCTAATCTCCTCAACACTATCTTCCCTGTTTCTCTCTTCAAGACACCTCTTTCCACTTAATTCTAGTGATATGACTTCAAGTATTATCTTGTGGGGTTTCAATGATAAGACTGTGTGACTGTGCATGTTATCTAGGTTCCTCTCCTCTTTCGCTCTTTGCTCTCCAAACTGCCTTCTTGCACACTATGAAATAGGGTGAAACGGCATGTGTGTGCATGCAGATTAATTTTGTTTATCGGAGAGGTTCAGCCCATTATTTAACCATTTGTTTTCAAAAAAGCAGTTTGCAGCGAGATGCAGATTCTTTATAGCAGCGAAATCCAAATTATTCGAGCTGAGGAGAATTCATACGACAGCACTATTGTCAGCTGACAGCTTTGTTATTAAGAAAACAATGTTGATGGTCACGGTTCACCGAGCGCTCTGCGCCGTTATCTGCACAGGGACCTATCGTAGCGTCTCCTTAGCATAACAAAGCTGCCCTTTCACTGCAGCATCTCGCCTGTTTTATGCCACTTTGTTTGCGCTCTCTAGATCACAGCCGCATTTAATTGAGCGGAATCAGAAAAGGGAGCGATCGGCGCAGACGCGCGACTGCTTGCTTTTTGTTTTTAACTGCCACATGCTTCAATATCTGTTTGTTTTACAGGAGTGGACGGCTCCATATTTGAGGTTCTGCCCCAAGCAACAGAGCTACCCAGCTTTCAGGCCTGTCATGCTACTAAAGACTTGTGGCAGCCATGTCTCTGCACGTACACCCTGCGGCTGGAGTGGTACCCGTGTCTGCTGAAGTACTGCCGCAGCCGGGACGCAACAGGCAAGGGCTCCACCTACAAGTGTGGCATCAAGAGCTGCAGCAAAGGATACCATTTCACGTACTATGTTCCCCAAAAACAGCTCTGCCTCTGGGACGAGGAGACCTAGAGTTTTGTTGTGGATGTTTAAGAAACGAGAAGACTTCTTTTTCTTTTTTGCCAGCCCAGCCAATGCTTCTCCACCCATGCTAACCACAGCAACACTGGACCTTGGTTTATATCATGTGAAGTGAAACTGTGTCAGGTGGGGAGGGCCGACATCCAGACATTCACGTTGAAGTAGAAATAAATTCAGGTTCCAGATGAGACCAAAAGCTTTTAAGGGAGATGCAGCAAAGTCACTAATTTTTCACTAATGTTTCTGGGGAAAAATGACCTCTTGCTGTCAGTCTTAACGAGAGATATATAATTTTTTTTATTTTTTTTTGCCAAGAAGCTGTCACTTTTGTGCCTTTTTGGGGAAAGTGAGTGGGGCAAATTAAACAAAACCTCTCAAACAAGCTATGGTATGCACAAAAGATGGACAGTCATACACCGGCAGAGGAACAACACTGTTCCACTCTCAGTCAAAAGGAGGTAGACAAACAAATTCTTCCATCCTGGTGAAGGAAAATTTGAATGTTGGAATTATCTGTCTTATAAAGTTCTGTGAAAACAGTTTATTACCAGCTAAATGCTGTTTTTTACCATGTAAGCATGCTTACAAAGAAAAAACAAAACCTCTCCAATGCTATCTTTATTTATTTTGGTTGCAAAGTGAAATTATGGAGGACTATCATTAAAAAAAAATCTTTTTAATATAATAACCTCATCTGTTTGCTTCCCTGTAGGCATTAAGTTTAAGTTAGTTTCTGAAGTTCATCTTAAACCACAGAGCCTCAGTAACACAAAGTATTCGAACATATTTCAGGTTAACCTCTTGGCTGTTGTTTCTCATCCATATCCTGTTTTGCTTATATACTGCCTGTTTTCATTCTTGTATAGACGGTGTAGAAAAACAGGCATATTATCCTATTTAATAGTGAAGATTTATCCCGAGTTGCCCTGTCATTACCCATGGGGACACCTCCTGCCCACAACTCGCACCCCTCTCAGTCTGTTTAAAAAGTGTCAAACCAAAGTCAAAGAAATGCTGTGAAAGGAGCCGTTTAAAGTTTCAGTTTCTGGACACAAGCTCTTCGGTATGGTGGTGTTTTTTTTTTGTTTTGTTTTTCCTCCCCAATGTGAGGATCCATTCAAGCAACAGGCGCTTTAATGATCCACACTGCCATCTTCTGGTTAACCAGCATTTTTAGACTTTTATGCGCGCTGCCAGAATTCTGGTTCTTGGTTTCCGGCTTTGCCTGCTATAATTTATACATCTCATATCTGCCCCCGATAATTTACGTGTAATTCAAGGAGCACTTCTTAAATTTGTGGGACCAAATTTAACTTGTCTGTCTGTTCTTTATAGTACTAGGTTAAAGAAAAGACTGCTTTTCCTCAATAACTTCAGCCTTTTTACTGCCATAACGCAAAAAAAAAAAAGGGGAGAAAAAAGAGGAAAAAAGAGTTTTTAGTGTGCTGGTATGTCCTGCTAACTGAAGAACCAAATGAGTGAAACACACCTATTTGTGGCCTTCTCTGGTGATCAAGTGCCTTAACATTTTACTGATGTTTTTGCTATGTAATTGTAGATTACATTGTTAAACATATTTTTTTTTCTATGAAAGAGTTTTTAATATGTTGTAATTAAAAAAGCTGCCGTAACGGAAAAAAATGAAGCAATTTGGTTAAGTACAATTTTTAAGAGCTGTTTTACATAAATTGTTTTAATAAAGTCCTTCTTTGCACTGCATGGACAGCTTGGAAGTTATTTGTGGTATATTGGAGTAATTTTATTAAGCCTTATATGGGGTATAAGGAGGTGTGTGTGTGTGTGTGTGTGTGTGTGTGTGTGTGTGTGTGTGTGTGTTTGGGGGGGGGCGCAAAGGAATCGGTGTATGGGAATTAAGAGATATACAGTTTAGATTCTTTGCATAGTCATCTGCTTCTGGGTGCTCCAATAAATTGTCCTGTTTTGCACTCGGGTGTGTTATGCCAGTCTTTCGATCAAGGTTGTAATTTCCACCATTTCCCACACGGTGTCGCCCCTGTTCCGAAAGAAAAAGAGCCTGCCATCGCTACATCAAGGATGAAAGCATGCTTTTCCTACAAAATATTGCATAAATCTACTTTAATCTCTAATTATGGTATTGCACGAGATAATATAAGCAGGATGCAATACACTTTGTAGTGCTAGCAAGTTAATAGGAGCAGAGCATGCAAATGCAGCTACTTGTAATGGGATACAAAGGATGCTGAAGGAGGCTGCTGTTGCTGCTACCCGGTGCCGTTCAGTTAAAGGACAGCAAAGTGTGTATCCAAACAAACCTGCCTCGGTCTTCTACGAGCATATATTTGCTTCAGAGGACGCAAAACAGCCAGGATGTAAACAGAGAGACAGCCACATGTGAACCGTCAAGGTAATTATATTTCACCGCATTTATAAACGTGTTGTAACCCCATAAAACAAGGCTTTGTTAGCTTGCTAGCGGTTAGCTTGCTCCCTGATCCATCTAATAGTACCAGTGCAGAGTTAGCCTGTTATGATAGCATCCCCTCGGCTAAGGGATGAGCTATGGCCCTGCTCTGCTGCTGCCCTTTCACATTGTTAGCAACAGCTGCTTTTGCTGTCACCATCAATAAACTGGCCCACGAGCAAATGAAGAAATTTCTTCATTTGTTCGTGGGCTCGGGTTGCCAGTTCCCGTCCTTTCATTGGTTTGCGTGGGAACACAATTATTACGCTATTAGTTTTTACCTTAAAACAGCTCAAATCTGCATCCATTATAAGAGTAAACATAGCTCAGGTGTCTCACCCTTATCCTAGGAAAGCCTGCAGCAGGGCATGCTGTAATGAAGAAAAACAAATAATAAACATAAAGGTAGTTGTTCAGTTACCTGGTGTTTTCTTGTGTGTACTCTACAGAAGTCTTGAGTCACCACTCATTTCTTTATATTTTGCTAGTAAAATGAGCATATATTGAAACATGTGCAAACATTCATGGGAATGCAGTGTAATAAGGCAAAAACAGACTTTGTACAATTCTAAAGCGCCTGAAAGTCAATATTTGGCAACAATCGTTATTCCTTAGCTTTGCCTGAACTCTCTTAGGTAAGCTTTCTTTTCAATTTTTTAAAAGTTTAAGTAGTCTTTTTTGGATGTTGGATGACTTTTGTTCTGCTCTCTGTCAAGATGATCTCACACTGCTTCAGTAATGTTGAGGTCCGGGCTCTGGGGAGGCCAATCCATGAATGATAGTGTTCCAATATGTGTTTTTTCTATCCAGGTATGTCTTTACTGCATTGGCAGTGTTTGGGATCATTGTCATGCTGAAAAACAAAGCAGCTGCAAATCAGATGCTTTCCACATTGGGCTGCATGGAGGATTAAAATCTGAGTGTACTTCTCTGTGTTTATAATTCCATCAATTTTTACAATTTACAATTTTTACATTGTTATCTGTTGATTAAGAATGGCTTCTTGACAGCCACCCTTCCACTGAGACCATTTCTGATGAGTCTCCAGTGAAAAGTAGATGGATCAACTGATGAATTGTCTGGGCCAGACGCATCTCTTAGGACTTGTGTCACATCCTTGCTGGATTTTTTTCTTATTTCTTAAGGACACGACTTTCAAATATTGTTCATGTATTACAGATAGTTTTTTTTTTCGGCCTGCCACTTCTGCTTTTGTTCTCCTCTTGTCCAGGTTCCTCAGATCTTTTAATGACACACTGCATGCTGTACTAAGATATGCCATCTTTCCATCCTCTAGTTGTTTTTGGAATAACTGTATTGGTGCAAAAATACTATTTTATGCACGTTAAAGTGTATTATCTGTGGCATTTTTTTTATAGATTCAAAAAAGAGAACAGTTTTGTGACTGTCTGCTACTAACAGAGTGCACAAGGCACAATTTAAAATGGATTTTCTATTATGTAGGCATAATACTTGTTTATTCCTGGAGTTAGGTCCCTTTTTATCCTTGAATTAAAAAAAAAACATTCCCAAGAAAATGGTCAGGTCAAAGGACTGGACTGAAAAACTTTCAAAACCCTTTATAAAGCATGGAGAACGATCACTCAAAACCAGAAAGTCTGGCTTCTTGGAAGATAAATATAGAGAAATGTGGAATCGTTCAAGACTTACTAGTTTTATTTTATGTCATTACATAATTTTGTCATTGCATATTCAGATCTCAGATGTTTCCTTTGTTTGCTCGTGATTTTTTTCTCCCTACTTTATTGTGCGTTTTCAGATGAACATGCAGGTTTTCTAAGACTATAAATTCAAGCCTAGTCTTCATATCATCCTTAGGTGCATCCTTTTTATCCATAGTACAAGTGAATCTGTAAAATGATTTGCAGCGGAGTCCATAAACAGATGAATTAATTTATTAACATATTCATTTTCAAGCAGAAAATCTGAAACGGTTCAGTGTCCCGCCTCTTAAATATAGTAATTTATTGCTCTTATATGTGTGTTGTAGTAACTGAATATCTTTTAGTTTATTTGGCTGGCATGTGGACATCACAAGCATAACAACGAAGATAGCAACGGGACATTTTTTGTTTGCTTATTAGTGCAGATGTCAAATAATAAGGGAGAAAGAGCCTTTGTCCCTCTCGGGAACTGTCTGAGACCCAGCACCCAGTAACCTCTCTGCCAGTTTTGAAACTAGCTTCAATCTTTAAGAATCAAGTGTACATCTTGTTCCAGTTCACTGAGGGTGGGCTCATCTGTCTGCATGGTCTCACCTCCTAGTACAAACGTCACAGCAGAAGAAGAGACGTCCCCCTCACCCCACCAGACCCTCAGCCGGCCTACTATAGTACTATTATAGTTCAAGCAAAGGCTAATTGTTGCTCCCTCACAAAGAGTGCACAGTTCAAATCTCTGGACGGTGATTCTTTCTTTTTCTACTGTAAGTGATATTACAGAGCAAGAAGTTCCTCCTTGCATTTTTCTCTCGCCATGTAATGTGAGTCAGAGTTGGCTTGATGACTGCTGAGAAGTTTGTTTAGCTGTAATTTGCTGCTTTTCTTTGTTTGACTTACCTTCAGAGGGGAAGATGGCTGTGCTTGTCGTTTGTGCTCTCCTGTGCCTATCCTGCTGGGTGTCTTTCTACTTTGTCCTGTGTAACGTTAACGGATCCAGGAGCTACGAATGGAACTGTCGACTCGTCACGCTGGTGCACGGGATCCTGGCAGTCTGCATCACAGCGTACATAGGCTATGTAGATGGACCTTGGCCTTTTACTTATCCAGGTAGGGGATGCAGCTTGTCAAGATTTTGTGTGCACATTAAAACCTAAAAAGACAGCAAGGATGCAGAGACACAGCATAGATTTTAAGCAGCTCACAGACTTAATATTATATCCTCTTATGCATTAATGTGACATTACTGTTTAGGTTCATCTATTAGTTTTCACTGTAACATCTGCTGCTTTTTCTTTGAAAATTGATGCAGACATGAGGCATCTAAACTAGTTAGCACAGTTGAGCTCTAACTACCAGTGGAAACTTTTTGTAAGGTGCTGAAAAATCTTTAGACACAAAGACAAAAAGTTCTCAAGAGCTGTTTTTGTTACACGCCAATATAAACAACTATGTGCTCATTTCACAGTAATAACTTGTTTTATCTGTTTCTATAAGAAGCTAACTAAAGCCGGTCTTTTTTTGTCTGTGGATGCCAGGTACAAAGAACACCCCTCTGCAGATAAGTGCCATGGTCCTGAGTCTGGGCTATTTTATTTTTGACATGGCCTGGTGTGTGTACTTCCGTACAGAGGGACCAGTTATGCTGGCCCACCACACCATGAGCATCCTGGGAATCCTGTTGACCCTTTGGTTGGGGGAGTCTGGCATCGAGTCGTGCGCGGTGCTCTTTGGCAGTGAAATCACCAACCCTCTCTTGCAGGCGCGCTGGTTCCTCAAGCAGACTGGACGTTACGGGACTCTGCTGGGGGACGTTGTGGACGTCCTGTTTGTGCTGCTGTTTGTGGTGATGCGAATCTTCGTGGGAGGCACAATGCTGTACTGTGAGCTGATCTCCCCCAGGCCGAGATTCTTTATCAAGTGTGGCGGAGTGGCCATGTACGCCCTTTCCTGGGTCTTTATGGTAGACATTGTTCGATTTGCCATCCGGAAGAGCAAAAGCTGGCACAAACACCAGAGAGACCGCCAAGAGCTTTTAGCAGCTAATGGTCATGAAGGGAAGAAGGAGTGATCGGCATCAGAAGGGAATCCATTTATGTCATTTCTCTGCTCTTCGCTTTGGACACTTGATGGAAAGTACATGGAAAGCAACTTTCTCCATGTTGAAGTGTGATTTTAGAAAAAGGGATTTTTAAATTAAAAAAATGCTAAGGCTTCTTTTTGTAAGGTTTGTGGATTTTGGAGCTGAACATGCATAAAAGGTGCAAACAGCACTGACACAGTTTATATCACTGAAAACCAAAGCATATTGTATAAACACACAAAGAAAACCTGTGGGAAGAAAAGTTGCCGTTAACTGTGACCTAGTCATGTGTGGCAGTGTGGCTCCAAAAGGAAGTTCCCTACTAGAAAAGAAAAAGTTTACATGTAATGTTGTAGTCCTTGTGAAACACTTTTAGTGATGTCAACAGACTAGGATTGGTACTCAGGGAAATTAAGTAATATCAGAAAGATTGACGTGTGTTTGATGTGTTTAATCAAATTTCTATTTATTTTGCATCCCTCCTTTAAAGCTCTATGTTACAGTTTTATTGAGTCTATTAAATTCTAAATGTGTTCTTTTTAGTGTAAATTGTAAACTATAAATACATTCTCATGTTTTCTGAAATGGTAACCCTTGTCAACTTTATTGTACCAGATGTGTGAGGGTGGTCGCGCGTGAGTAATCATTTAGACAAGATCTGTGCTCTGCACTGATAGCTCCCAGCTAATTTAATTTAATAAGCTGTTTGTTGAATGTTTCAGTCTCACAGAGATCTTGTCAGAAATTGTCCAAGCTTTGATTAAATTCATTCTGAGCTATCTGTACATTGTGCAAGTCTTTCAAAAGGTCTTTTTTTTTTAAATAAACCATTTTGAAATAACATGTTATACAATGTTTGCCTTAATAAAAAATGTGCTACTGGGATGAAGACAGGAAGTTTTTATATTAAGGGACTATAATGACTGAGCCCAGATTTTTATGTGCATTCTTGTCTTAATTGTGAGAATATGTTTTTGTCGCAATAGGTTAAAAACATGCCATCTGTTTGTTTCCTATGTCTGTTCACCTGACTGGCACTGAGAGAAGTCTCTGTGTGCATCACCAATACATACAAGAAAGTACAAACCTAACTAGTGTGTGCCTTAGTTATCTGAATGTACCTTCCTAATGTGTTTTTATCCTTTCTCATGTACTGTAAACTCATTCAACACAGGAGGCGGCGTCACAAGAGCCATTTTGGGTCGGGGTTTCATCGTTCACCTTTGTAATCCCTGTGTAAAGTGAAATAAAATAAACTTGACATGTTGTTTGCATTCACTAAACAGCAAATTTACAACTAAACTGAAACATCAACTGTGTTCTAGTCAAGCCTAGCGAAACTCGAGATGAATTAGTCGACTGAGAGTGAAGTTACCTAAGCTGTCCACATGATGGTGTCATATCAATTATTTATGAATGATGAGAGAGGAAAGATGTGGTCTTTCTGCAATTCTAAAATAGCAATGAAAAGGGAAGAAAAGCACTTTTTATTTTAAACACAAAGCATCAGCAACTTACATTAAGTTACATTAAGTCCATGTGTAACTTTTTGGTTTTTCTCATTTTAGCATAAATTCGGTCGTTTTGGACCACTTTTCAGTCTTTACCAATGCAAAGTGGAGATAGGTGTGTGTCATGCTGTGTGTAATATACAATGTGCCTTATTTATTGTCGTATTTACAGTATAATGTAGGGTGCCAGAAATGCAGTGATGTGTGACTGCAATGGTCAGCACAGCAATCACACAGTAGCGCAGTAGTTGTGTATTTAAGCAAGGTAGTTGTGTGAGAAAAAGGTTAGAGTACAAGCCAGACGGGAATTTGTTTATTAAGAAAGATAAAATTATGTACTTTGCATTGATAAATATGACTCACCACAACCTTAATGGGACAGATGAAGTTTTTTTTTTATCATTTTCATTTGATGGTTGGTTTTGCTTCCAGTAATATCACATGCACAAAAACTGGAGTCGTATAAATGACTCTTGGACTGGAAGGTTCAACACTTTGCATGAAATGCATGAATAATTTATTGTGTCAGTTTCATGAGTGCCTTTTGCATCCATATTTGACTTTTACGGCACACACAGTTACTTGAAGCACTATTGAGAAGGAGACTGACTAACATGAAGATATTCGTGTCTATACATTTAAAAATGATCAAATTATAACAATTTTTTGGCCCAGTGGCCATTATTTAATATCCCTGCCAGCTGCACACGCCATTGAGGCGCTGCTTGTTATATTCACAGCCTACTATAGTTGCATCATACACGAATAAATTATACATGTTTAGTATTACTGTTACCAGTAGTAGTAGTAGTGCTTGCTGTCGTTGTTACTCGTTTTTCAGTAGTGGTCCCTGATATTATGCTGAAATAAATTCTCCCCGGCGGCAGGAAGTGGTTAGTCTCTCCCAACTGCTAGCTAGGGCGTTGCTAGCGGCAGAAAGTGGGATTTTTTTTGGTACCTTTCCTCAAGTTATTCTCTCGAACAAACAGCGTTGTACGTTGGGAAAAAATAACGTTTAATGTTCGCTACAAGTTTCAAGCCCCTCGACGCTTTTTTGTCGTTGTTTACACGGGAGCGGTGGTTACTTTCTTTCCCGTTAGCTGGCGGCCACATAGCTAGCCTGCTTTCCATCCACGGGAATTCTGTCGAGAATTGACGATTTCTTTTGGAACATGGAGTCAAGAGACGCTGTGCTGTGCTAACGGGCTCCGCTGCATTTTGTTTCCTCAAGGAGTCTTTTTGAAGGACATAACGCGAAGACGTATCGCAAGCCAGTGAAAATACACGAGGTTTTTGTGTATGTATGTTTCGCTCGTTGGCCGGCTCATTGTTGTGAACGGGAGTTTGCTTAGTTTGCACTCGAAACAAGAGCCCACGAAGCAAAGTTTTTTGCTGAAAGAGCTCATCTGTTTTGTTAGCTGGTAGCTGGTGAGATTCAACGACTGCCAGTTTGCAGTGAGAAAGGATTTTTTGGGGGGGAAACCTATGTGCTTTTTTTTAAATGACCATTTAACTCAGTTCGTTTCTTTTTAATCAAAGCGGTTTGACGTTAGCTGCAGTTGTTTTGCTAATTTCTAACACGGGTCGTTTAAACTCGGCATTGAGCGATTCTCCTGGTCACGGGAGAGTCGTCCCCACAGACAGGCATTTCTTGGAGCAGGGAATACCTAATGGGACTGGAGGAATTTCCAGCATCTTCACCGATCATTTAGACACCGAGGCCATTCGGCCGAGCTGGGTGTTGGCAGACGAACTACATCGCAGGGCCAAGGTGTCAGGAACGTTGGGATACGCATTGTTTACATACATCATATCGGCGGAAAACTGGGATGTGAATGCAAAGGAGACACACGAGGAGTTCGTACATACACGACAACTTGTGTCAGCTGCACCAGTATATTTATTATTGTTGCCAAAATATTGTTTATTACGGGGTAGGACTGCTAATTCGACCAAGGCCCCGATTGATTTTTATGATCTGCACTGTAGATTTTTTGCTGTCATTTAATTTTAACAAGAAGTCCTGGTTGTAGCTTAGGCTCATCTGGTGTTTGGAGGTGCCTTGCAGCAACCTCACAGTGAACTGATTCCCAGCATCGTTCTCAAAATCCCTGCCTACTCCAGACGAATGCCAGAGAAAGACGCTCCAGGAAATCGCCTCATCACACTCTGGAAAATGTTAATAGGATATAATTTGCTGCAAATCTAGAACCGGAAGCCCAATGAGTGACACACAGCCCAGCTTCACTGACAGGTACAGTAAACAACCACCTTTTATATTCTGTTAATGCACTGTTTTCACCTTCAAAGTAATAAAATCATAACATTTTTGTGAAAGTCCCTTGATACGGTTGATCTGAAAACGTGTTTTACACGGTTTAGGTAAAACACTGACCTATGTAGATGATGCTCGGTAATAACTGTTATTCAGTTACTAATGAAGGACATCAGATCTTGATGGAAACTGCTGATCTCAGCATGGATAATGGAGTTCTCTGTAGACTGTAAAATACTACTTATGGACTGGATGAGAAGGACTTCTACTGTTTGTGTGCTAGGGAACAGTCATCCAGTGATCCCTGTACACCTTTCAACATCACTATTACCCCTAAGCCTTTAAAGCTAAACCTCTCCTACACCTATTAAAACAATCTCTGGATTTAGACAAAACCCTAGCTCGGAGAGTAATCATCTTATCTAAGGCAGTTGTCACCTTAAACTAAAAGTTGGACCAGCTGACTAAACATTGTGTCACAGCCTTCAAGAATGCAGCGATGGATGTGTCCAAAACTACCCCAATGTATGGACACGTGTGTCCATCACTGATTTCTGCATTGCATCATGACAGTGGTTTTCGTGCCTGGACAATAAAGAGGTTTTTGTTCTGAAATGATGTTCTCTGGCAGTAAAACAAAAAGTGGAGCTGTTGTATTGCATCAAACCTTCCCACCTGAATGTCACATACCTGCAAGGAGAGAAGGAAGGAGTCAGAATAGAAGGGGAGCTTATTACACCAGGTTGGGATATGAAATACCCTCATGGCTAGAGCTAGAGGGAGGCGAAAGCCCAGCCCTAGTTTTTTTTTTTTTTTTTTTTTTAAATAAATATGACACCCCCCTCCCCCACTGCACTGATGGCAGCAGTGGCTGGCACCAGCTGCTGGCCTGTACTTGGAATTATTGTTCTGTATGTATGGTCTGTTTACATTGTTTTCCACAACAGTTGCTGGTAGTGACTGCACTGATCAATTAGGTTTTTGGTTTGTTGCTTGCTCACTCTTGCCTTATGTGTGTCTGTATTTCCCTGCTTTTGCCTTCGCTCCAGCCATGTGTGGTGTTGTGCAGTTTGTTTTTTTGCTCTGTTGGCATTGGTGGGAGGATGCATTCAGTATCTATTGGGGTTGGGCTGCCAGCCGGTGGGTCAGTTTAGTGTGCAGTTCACTCTTTGTCATAGTGTTCTGCTGATCTCCACGATTTTCCCACACCCCTGAGGCCCTCTCGGGAAGTGGTACTGAGGGGTATACTGCAAATGAAGTTCAACACAACCAGGCTTTCTTTGCATTAGCTGGCTGGACAAAACCTAAAACCCCAGCTGGAGATAACAGGTATCACAACAGTGGTTCTCAACTTTATCTCTTAAGCAGAGCTTTTTGCTTCATGCTCTGTGCTCGGAAAAGCAGTGATTCGTGAGGCATTAGACCCTTTTTCTACACAAAATGACCCCTATGAGTGACACTTACTTCAGTCAGAGATGTTATCATTTGATGATGATAAAATGGTGATTAAAACTAAAAAGAACAGAACATTAAAAAGATAATACTAAAATGCAACGAGATTAATACAGTAGAAAACTGTTAATTTGGTGGTTTTTAGTGCACAGTAAAACAGTTTAATTCAAGTTATTTATTTCATCATCAGACTTGGCAGCAGATCAGAATCAAGTAAAACAATATTTAGACATTTTCTCCATCACCAAATTAATGCATGGGCATATTCAGTGACAATATGACACACAGTTTGCACTTTATTCAGAAATTTAACAGCGCATAACAATCCTATTAGCAGATAATCTATATTGTGCTTAAGACATGCTGTAAATGAAACAATCAGTGGAACCCTGGCACTTTGACTTTAAACCAAAACTCAGAAGATGGCCTGGTCATAAGCAGACTTTTTCACCATGAGTTACCACAGTAATTTAGCCAGGTAAATAGGAAGCTACTTTTATGACACAAACCTTTGACTTGAAGAGTTAAGCTTCGTAATACACCCCCTCCAGTGTCATTACTAGTAGTAAAAAATAGTCAGTGTTTATCACCCAGGTATTTCAGGTACTTTCAGGGAGGCTGATTGGAGTGTGATTTCACAGCAAAAGTTTTAACCTATGTCTGTAATCAGTTTTCAGCTGACAAGCCTGTCAGTAATCATTCAATATCATTGATTCTTACATAAATATGCTCTCAGTTGTGAAGCCAGTATCAGTCACAACCTAATAAAGGCCAAAGTTTTCACATTGTGACATAGCCATCAGCTGAAAACGAGAGATGTGAGATGTCATGATCAGTGAATGTCTGGTAGTTTGCCGTGCTAAAGTCTTTAAAGGGGGAACGGTTAACTATATGTCAACATTGATATATTTCTGTGGGCTAGTTGAGTAATTATATCACCACTATTTTTAATAACAGGACACTGGAGTTGATATTTGCGTCACTGCAGTGAAGTTTGTTTCCTTATGATAAATGTTTTCATGAGCAGT